GAAGATCAAATTCATGACAAAAACAACAAAGAACCCGCCATATGGATTGAAGACAAGTTTAGGACTCGCCATATTGTGGTGGTGTTATCACCGTCCGCCGTGAAGCCTGAAGGAATGTTTCACATAAAATGATCACTATCTTCTTCGTCAACCACCACATAGGGAAACACATAGGAAGAGATTACACCACCGTAATCAGAACCCCCTATGGCGACCTTTGGCACAACCTCCGCCACCTGAGTGCTCTTGAGATGTTCTCAGCTAGTCTTCTCAACACGTTTCTATACATTCGGGTTTCAGAGTCTAAGACCGAGCTCCAGTAGAGGACTACAGACACGACAATAATGCTACTCTATTGTCTTCAATCCATCTGGGTTCTTTTTTCTTTCTTCTTTTTCTATTTATTTATTTTTTTATTTTTTCATTGATTTGATCTTGCTAATTTTGACTACACTTTAATTTCGTTTTTGTTCGTATTGCTCGGCTTACAGTGGGAAAAGTGCGAGAGGATTTGGTTTTAGGGCTACTTCCGTTATTTTATTAATATAAGAATAAAAGTGGATTAAGTTTTTGGAGATCTAATACCATCTCTAAATCTATTGGACCCAAGAAGATGGTGAATATTAAAATTTAATTAGATAAAGGTAGGGGAAGGTGTTCGCCGTATCAGCCGATATGTGATCCTTTTTCAAAAGTTCGATACTGTTACACACCTTCATAAATTGGTTGGTTCAAATGATTTATACTAATATTCGTCCGAATCCATTACACACACTAATATTCATTCGATTCTGTTACGTTGCGATTAATAATGATATTCATCCAAATAATCCATTGCACCGCGACTGTAATCGATACTGATATTTGTTTAAATTCGTTACATTGTGACTGATACCATTACCAATACCGCGATGGCAAAAACTATAATATGATTATATATTTATATGCAGCTATTTGAATTATTACAAAAATAAAAGTTATAATGAGATAAACCTCATTACAATACTCATGAATTCTCTATCCATGCTAACCCCTTTATGTACAAATTTCGAGATAAAGTACCTGACTGCTTGAAAAATAATAATATGGAAATTATACACTAAAATTTTGTAGCAAAATTCATTTACGTACAGATCAGATGCTTTGGTGGAGCTTTCATATTTTTGGCCAAATTTAAAAGTTCATTTATTTTTATTATTTTTTGTATCAAGTACACTGCCTCAATCCTAACTCTAACATGTCAACAGTTTTAGGACATTAGCCAACCTTTTTCCAAACCTCATGAATAAAAAGTCTTTTTTCAAAACTCGTCCCATATTAGAGTGGGGACACCTTCTAAGAAAACAATTCAAATTTAAATAATTTTAAAATAAATTTTATGAAAATATTTAAGTATAGTCCAATACTAAGGTAATAACAAATTGTTGTTTAAAATTAAATTATCGAAGGAAATGAAGGGAAAAGAAAAATTATAGATAATAAAAATAATTTTATATATTTATAATTAAACAGGACAGGCTCCACATTTATTAATTAAGTTTTGATTTTTTTTTTTTTACTTCTAAATCGGTCCCTAATTCAATTACTAGGTTGAATCCAAGCTCGCAGTAAATAGGGCAAGACGGGTCTGAGTTAAATTGACATTCATACCTCGTTCATTGGTCGTACCCGCCTGGCCGTGTCCCTTGTTCACATGGCAGCTGAACAGTCTCAAAAGTCAAAAATATTTTTTTTATGGCGTATTCATATAGTATATGCGTGCTTGATAGTCTGTATTTTTCTGTCAATTTGCGATATGAATAATAATAAAGTATACAAGTTGACTCCATCTGGCCGAACTGGATGTAGTGTGTGTATTGTGTGCGTCTGTGTATACGTATCAGATTCAGAGGTTTAAGCATCTCCATCGCATACGCCAACCCAAGTTGTACCGTTTTTGAGAGAGTAGCTCTCTTTGTTTTCCAGGTTTTCTCTCTCTCTCTGATGACATGATTTATGCTTTCTTCAATATCAATGTTATTTATATTTTTGGCACTTGAAAGCTCTCTGAATTGTTTGATCTCATACATACACTGTGCTGTTTAGTTAATGATCATCTGTTATCTTCATTTTCATATGTATTAATCAAATGGATATAATTGGACAAGCAAATTTACCAATTTTTAGTTTTTTTTTTTCGTGTTAACCTATTTGTAAATTTGGTTTGTGCTTTAGCAAATCTGTAGAAATCTCTTGAGAAGTTTAAAACAGATTTTGATAACTGAATCATTTTCTCTACATTTTATTTATGCACAAGACATTATTGGTCTTCAAAATTAGAAAAAAAGTTGCATTTTTTACTTTCATTGATGGATTAAAATTTTTTTTTTTTTATATTTATTCTCCATAAAATAACTTCATAGACACAAAATGGAGACATGCATTTTTTATATTTATTCTCTTTTTGATGCTCTAATACCACACTTTGTTGGTTTAATTGATGGCTAAATTTAAGGGGAAAATAGATAGAACAGAGTAGGAGAGAAAATGAACGTAACGAAACCTGAAGTATTATTTACTTTTTATTTAAAAAATTATATATATATTATAAAAATGGTTGTTCTTACTACTACTTAAATTGAATTGCTATGTAGACATGTAACACTAAAAGTGAAAACAATGGTGAGTTTTGATTAGATTTGAACTTGACTATTGAAAATTTAAAACTTGCTGAAAACTAGAGAAGATGAACATTTGGAACAATTGATGGTTGTATTATAAATTTATAATTGACTTCTTAGAATCTAATGGGCCTTCTATTCCATTTCGTGCCTTAGCGACCACCTTAATGGCTTTATAGCGGAGCTAACCTGACTATATAGATACTACATATGGACGCTGCTTTCTACGTGTTCCTTCTTTTTTCTTTTCAGTTTTCTAATTTCTTTGCTCTTAATATACAGTACACAGAGCCCAAAAAATCTGTGAACCAACATAGTGTGGTATTAGAGCATCAAAAAGAGAATAAATACCAAAAATGCATGCCTCATTTCATGCAAGTTTCAATAATTTAGCTTATTCCATTTTCATATAAACTTGACCAATCTACCTATTGATTGATCCAACACAAAAATTCATCCGAGCTTTCAATAATTTTGCTTAATATATTTTCATCTAAATTAAAGAGTAAACTAGGGATAATTTTGGGCCTTTTAAACTTGGAATGATCACCTAGAGCAATGCCACTAAATATCTGTACCCAAAGTAGCCTGAACATACTTGAAGAACCAGAATGTTGCTTTGTCTTTGATCAATATGCAACGATGAACAAGAAGTTAGCGACAAATATCCCACTATCCTTATATGATTTTTTTGCTTAAAAGTATGACAACATAATCATATAAGAATAATTAAATCGCAACCACAGACACTAAATTACCCTTATAAATGAAATTCAAATCTATAAAAATAAATGTACTGAAATCCAATACTCTGAACTTGAATGTCATCTCATTAAATTCCAAAAGCCCCACCTGCATCTTCACAACATGAAATAAAAGAAGAAGAAGAAGAAGAAGAAGAAGAAGAAGAAGAAGATACTTACCGAAAAAAAAAGAACATGAAAAAAAGAAGGGATACCCTTTCATTAGAGTATAAAAAGCTATAAATATATATATATATATATATATATATATATACACACACACATGAACTATAAATATGCAAATAAATAAAGAGAACAATCAAATATTTTAGGGGAAAAAAAAAGAGAACAATCAAATATCAATTGTAATCATGCCTTACTTTATCATACACTCCCTAAATTCTACTCACCACTTCTCATATGTTGAGAAAGGTTAAACCGGAAAGTGTAAAGGAATTAGAGTTAGAATCAAGCAAAGCATTTATAAGATGAAACAATAAACATACATGAGCATAACATATAATATTTAAAGTCATTGTTTAAGCACAATTGCAGCATTTCCAAAACACAGCCTACCACATCTAAACATAGTAGAAGTGTAAGTAACTTAGGACAATATAAGTAAAATAGTAAAATCAGAAAGTCCCAAGTATTAAGCAGTGTTAATCATGCAACTCTTTCATGGAGCCTTGTTATTTGCTTGCAAAGCAGCATCCATCATCTAGTCAAGGCAGGTCATATCTCTTTCAAGGTCCAGCTTTACTGATCTGTAGAAATCATCTAAATTATGAGTCAGCATATAAATTCCATCTCTTAAACTCGTCTTGAAAATAAACAACTATGCAATTTGGAAATATCACCAAAATCATCCTTCATCTTGTGCAAATTAATCTCCCTTGCACTTCATTAGATTCTTAAACTATTTGTTGTATAAGACAGGGTTTATTTATAACTTTTTATTTAGCCTCGTTGTTTATAGATTTATACAATAGATATTTTACAATTTTTTGGAGTTCTCCAGAAAGAAAACAAATAATAGAATAAAAATTAATCATTGTTTTGAAGTTCAGAATTTTTTAGCAATGTCATCCCTTTGGAGTAGAAGAATTCAAAATACTTACATCTTGTTAACCATTTGTTGGACAAAGCATCCAAGGATACTGTTTGCATAGTTTATACATGCACTTAAAAGACAAGGGGGGATTTGCAAATACTACATGGACGCGGCCGTGTATTAAGTGCAAGTGTTATCCAAACTCTTTGAACTCTTCATTGAGATTTTTCTTCTTCTTCTTCTACTTCTATCATCACGAATTAGAACCCGTGTGCAATTTGGGTTTCATGTGTTGCAGACATGCATACCCATGTTCTTATCATGTCGTATTGACTCAGACACGTGAAGTGGAATAGAAAACTCAATGTAACATAGATTACAAGATTTGACGTTGACCAGGTTTTATTCTGTTTCATTTGATTTCCTTTTACCATGACAGAAATTGAACACAACTTTCTTTGATCTTCATTTTTTTTTTTTTTTTTTTTTCATATTACAATTAATTCTTTTTTAACATTATGTATTCAAATTCTTGCATCAGCAATGGCCATGAGTACAGTGGCACAGCGTAAAGAAATGATCGTTGAACTGTTGAAGAATAATGAAGTCAAAACAGTTGTTCTTGTTGGGGAATCAGGAATCGGAAAAACATGGACTGCCAGAGAGATAAGTAAGCGTGCAATTAAGGAAGGCTTATTTGAGAAAATCCTATGGGTATTTCTTCACAGAAAATATGAAAGAGTTGATCTTGTAAAAGATATTGGTCATCAGTTGTGTCTACTGCCCATTGCTGAGGAGTGGGATGGTGATGATGGCAAAGAACTCACCAAAAGGGAAAAAGATGAAGAAAATGCAGAGAAGAAGGTGAACAGGCATGACTTGCAACAGAAGATATCTCAAACACTTAAAGGAAAACGTTTTCTTCTAATTTTGGATGACGTGGGAAGCAAAATGGATGAACATATTATGTCCGAATTGGAAAGCTTTCTGAAATTTAGCCCACAAAATGGATACAAGTTTCTAATAACTAGCATAGAGAGCATCAGTTGCCCTGATTTTATGAAACCATTGGGAGAGATACAGCAGGTGAAGCCCTTATCTCTGACAGAGTCATTGTCCTTGTTGCAACAACATACAGGAATGATGATCTATGAGGTTCCAGGTGTTAAAGCTTTGGCTGAAGCTTTTATTGAAAAGACTAAAGGGTTGCCTACTGCAGTAGTCATAATGGCAAAAGCTTTAAGTCACTTTGCAAAACATGAGCATGAGGAGCTGTTGCTGGAAAGTGATTTGGAGGAAGCATTTTCTGATAATGAAAGCTATAACATAACACAGATACTATGCACTGGGAATGGCATGCTGCCACTTGGTGTTCTAATGGACTGTTGTTGGCATGGCAACCACTTCTTTCGCAACCGTGGAAGCATTCATTTTAATGAGTTGATAGCTTACTGGATGCTAGAAGGATATCTTGGTAGAGTCGACTGTATTGAGAAGGCATACGAGAAGGGACATCATGTCTTGATGGAGCTAATTGATTGTCATATACTGAAAAAGGTGGAAACTAGTTATGTTACCATTGAAGAATCAAGAATGAACTTGGAAGATTGCCACCATTCTGGATATGTCGGGACAGCCTGTCTGGGATTGGCTAATGTATTTGAGGATGAGTGGGAAGGCCTTGGGAGAACCACACAGGTGGATGGTATGATGAAAACTATGCTCACTGGTATGAAAGGGCAGAAACTCAGGACATCACTGCTTGACGGAAATTTTCTCGGCAGGGAAGATCCAGATAACTTCTTTCAGTCCGAGCAGGATCTGCAAGTTCTTGCCCTTTTTAATCCAACTTTCATATCATTGCCACATTCCTTGTGCTGCATGAAGAAACTTCGTGTGCTTGTGCTTAAAGGCTGCGACTTTTTGGAGAAAATCAACCACACCCTGACACTTCCAAGTTTAACTGTTCTTGAGATATCTGGTGCTAGCTCCTTGATAATTCCAGAAAATTTCAATGATCTTTTTAAGCATATGCCCTGCCTTCGAAGCCTTAATCTGTCTTCACTCCTGATAGACTCATTACCTTCATCTCTTTATGACCTTAGTGAACTAAGCTGGCTCATCCTTAGAGGGTGTTCTCACTTGCTTGAACTGGGAAGTCTCAGCAAACTAAGGAAACTTGTGCTGCTGGATGTTTCTGGTGCTACCTCTTTGAAATATATCAAAGACCAAAACTTTAGCATAAATAATAAACTTCAAACGCTAAATCTTTCTCAAACAAAGATTTCGAAGTTACCATTACTTCAGAAACATGGAGAGCTCTGTCATCTCTCACTAAGTGGCTGTGAATCCTTAACAAGACTTCCAAGCATTGCCTCACTGGTCTGTCTCCAAACTCTTGATCTTTCAGGTGCGAAAAAATTCCTTGAATTCCAGCGAATGGAAAAAAGCATTAGCCTTAAAATCCTTGATCTATCTGAAACTGCAGTTGAATCTCTACCATCCAAAATTATCAATCTGCGGCATCTCTTTCTAAGACGTTGCTCTAAGTTGAAAGTATTATCATGCACTGGAGCACTTAAGTATCTTGAGGTACTTGATGTTTCAGGTACCTGTACTCTAGAGAAAATCGAATTTGTTGAACACCTGAGTTCACTACAAATCCTTAACCTTTCAGAAACCAAAATTACTACTCTACCATCCATTGTCAATCTCTGTAAGCTCCGCGTGCTTTATCTCTCCAGGTGTAGTGCATTGAAAGAATTACAAGATAAATCCTTTGATCATTTTCTTCGTATTCAGAAACTTGACCTCTCTGGAACTAAGATTAAGATCCTGCCATCCCTTTCAAAATGTAGCAACCTTCGTCACCTCTTACTTGAAAAATGTACCAATTTGGAAGAACTTCCTCAGCTTGAATCTCTATTGAAACTTGAGAAGCTAAACTTAAGTGGTATTAGCTTGTTGAGAAAAGATGGAGCCAAATTCTTGGAGCATATGAGAGGCCTTCGGATTCTTGACCTCTCTGAAACCTCTCTGCTTGAAGAGTTACCATCCATGTCAAACCTCGAAAACCTTCAACAACTTATTCTGAGGGGTTGTCCGAGCTTAAAGATGGTGCCACAGTTGGAATCACTTACAAAGCTTGAGGTTCTGGATCTTTCTGGAACAGCAGTTGTTTCTCTACCATCCCTTGACAAATTCAGCAACCTCCGCCAGCTCATGCTTAGGGGTTGCTCAAGCTTGGAAGAGTTTCTGCATCTAGAGTTGCTTCATCTTCTTGGGGGAACTGTGAAAGAACTTCCCTATGGGATCTCAAAATTGGCTCATCTTGAGCAGCTCGATATGCCAAACATGAAGAACATAATTGAAGGAGATAATGGAGGGAATACAGAGTGCATACCACAAGACCAGAATTGGTGTGATTGGAGCATCTCCAGTTTGTCAGCTAAAACTCCCAGGGCCAACGAGTACAGACCTCTGGTATCAGTAAGTGGATCTCAATTTCTTCAGCTTTTGGAAAGAGATCCCTTGTTATGGGACACAAACTTTACTCAGTTCCATTTCTATGTTCATCCTGTAAATAGGGTTAATAGTAATGGAGACAGATACTCTAGGACTTTTCCTGTAAGTCCTCCTATGGTGAACAAACAGCTTGACCTTACCCCAGATAACATGGGTGGTTTGGATTGTATCGGTTCCCCCTGCATCTACAGAAATGAGCAAATCTTCGGGGATATTCACTTCCGGACTAGGGAATTTCTTCAATTTAAAGAGCAAAGGACATTGCGAAAATGGGGAATGTTTTCCATGCAGAAGATATTGCGAAAATGGGGAAAAACTTGGTTGTTCTGGGGGTCTCCACTGCTTTTAGTTTGAAGAGCATATGCAGTGGGAGCCTGCAATGCAAGGTCTTTCAAAACCTCGAATGTCTGTATCTGGATTGTTGTCCGATGCTTTCAACTGTGTTCTCGTTATCTCAGACGCCAGCTCAACTGAAAGTTCTTCAGATTAAATTTTGCAATAAATTGAAAAATGTGTTTGCAGAAGAGTCATCCGAGTTTAGATTGCCAAATTTAGAAACGCTGCATTTATGGGAACTACCGGAATTAGAGAGCATTGGATGCAAGTTGCCACGCTTACAAATCCAAAAAGTATGGGCATGTCCAAAACTGAGGGAGTTAGAAGAAAATGTCAGTCTATTAGATGAAATGTTTGGAGTCCGAGAGCATTGCAGATGAGTGCTGTTATGAAATTGTATTCAACTCAGAAGCTCCTGTTCACCTTTTGGAATCCACATCTATTCAGGTTTGTTATGCTTCTTTTCCTTTCATGTTTGCTGCAATTTTATTCCAGCTAAAAGATATCGTCTTCTTCCTGAGTATATTTCTCATAGACTTCATGTATTTTTACTTTGTACAACAGTCATTGTTGTCACAATGGGCTAATCTTTTTCTTAATGCTGTTGGAGGTAGTTTTATATAGCTTTGTCTTTTTGTCTATGACATTGGGGTTCCCACTGCAAAGATCATAAAATTTGTACAATGATTATCCTGTAATTTTTAAGAATCAGGAGCTCTATAATATATATATTCGTTCATGACAAAGATCATCATACTATTTAATTTGAATATAGTAGTTGTATAATTTTAAGTAACTTTGTAGGAATAATCATCTAGTTCCCACTGCAACTAGCATGTTTGAAATATTGTTGAGAACATATAGATCATTGTTTTAATTAAAATTTCATGATGGCGCAACGACCATGACATCAAGTGAAGACAGAAGAAATACCTTCATCTGAACTTGTGATTAATTTTATTTTTCTCTCTCTCTCTTAAAGCCTTAGAATTACAATTCTTTTTTATATCTAGTTGGGGGGGAGGGGAGGATATGTTAAATGGAAAACGACAATTGTTTAGAATCCGACCATGAACTATATTGTCTTCTATTTTCTGCAAAATCTCTATTGACATGGGTTATGAGGGATCGAAGAATAGTATTGGGATTGCATAGTCTTCTATCATTGTATTTAGCGGTGCTATAAACGGAGTTCATCATAAACCATATCGATCAACTTAGAATCTTATATTAAGGTAATTTGTTTTGAGAACAACCATTGTTTAGATTCCAACCATGAACTGTATAGCATTGCAGTTTCTATTTTCTGCAAAAACTCTATTCCCTCAGGGGTTATGACATGTTGAAGAAATTTTATTGGATTACATAAGCTTCTATCATTGTTTTCGCCAACAAACTGAGAAAGTTGGAAGGTCTCTTTATATCATCTACTGGCTAATAAAAAGAAAGGTCATTTTGATAGAATAAAGTACGTCTAGTGAACATCTGAGAATTGGGAGGCAGTTGAAAATAGCCCAATTATTGTTCCAAGACATGAGGATGTCATCTGCTGAAGCCTAACATAGGCAAGAGAATTATTATCCCAGCATAATTTCCGAACTGAAACAGACAATACCTGCTAAAACGAACTGCTACGAGATCTCAATACTTCATGGGCATAGGTGAGCCACTGTACTGGATATTAGTAATCGAGTGATTGTTTTAGGATATTCAGCAATTCATCGTATCCTAAGCAATGTCAGTTTAAGACCAGAGAATGTACTTGGCATGCAGGATAGAAAATGTGATTTCCATCATTTTACTTTCATTGATAGATTTATTTATTTATTTATTTATTTTTCGGTTGATTAATTTTAAATTTGATGCGAACTATAAGGATGCAAGCTTCAGTGGCATTATTCCCTTTACAATTGTTGGTTTTTTGAATTGCAAATGGTTATATCAAAACCTGACTGTTTGCACCTCTCTCTTTATGAACTTGCAGGATCCAAATGGTGGTGCTTATTGAAAGCCAACATTCTAAAAGTCGTTGGACACCCAAGTCTGCTTGTGGCTGGATATTTGATTCACTTGTTTTCTTTCTTCTTCTTCCATCTCTATGTTGTTGTATTGCTTATTATAACTTGCATTATTACCAATTAGGTGATTGATTTTATGTTCAAAGTCGCTTATGGTGAATGTAAATGAATTTTGAGTCGATTCATAATCGTAACACACACACACACACACACACACACACACACACACACACATATATATGATTTGTCTTGAATTTTGAGAGAAAGTTCGACTTATTTCGTCTATTTGTAAATGTGTTTTGAGTCCATTCATATTTTGGCTACACACTAGATATGTCCTGATAAAGAGAGAGAATTCATCTTTTGGCTACACACTAGATATGTCCTGATAAAGAGAGAAATTCTTATCATTAACTTCAGTTTTAATTATTTTTTGTTTTTGATTAACAACATATTCATCGATTAATGAGGCAGGAAAGAAAAGTAACAGGTATGACTAAAAAGAATGTTCATCAATTATCGTAAATTTACAGTGAGAACAACGATAGCACAAGCCCTTTGCCCACTGCCACAGGGAAAGCATAAAGTGTCTGTCGCCACGGAAGTAACACTTTTCGCTGTGGAAGAGACGGTGTCTTGGGTGAAATGGATGTTCGACCCCGGACATTTCAGGACTGAAATGGTCCAACTCCATCTTTAATTTAGGCTAGCTAGCTATAATGGTAAAGCTAGAGAACAACTAAATTAAGGACCAAAAACAGGAGGAGAGGGGGAAAAGCAAGAACTATGAGAAAAAGTCTGATGAACCCCAAGACCTGCTAGCTAGATTCATTACTATTTCATAAGACCCGCTATCTTATTAGGCTCAAAAATTAATGTAGGATGCATAGACAAGTGGTGCCACCAGCCTTTTAAAATTTTCTCAAACTACAACAAGCAAAGATTGGATCTCAAGTCTTCCTTTGATTTTAGTTTAGAAAACAGAATCATTTTCAACCCAAACTAGTAGTGATTAATTAATCGGTAATTAAATGCCGAGACATAGTTTACATATTCACATTGTCCCATTAAAAAAAAAAAAAAAATTGTCTTTTTTGAAATTTTAATTTTTAAAGAGTGTAAATTTTAATGTTTTTTATATTTATAACTTCAAGGCAAAGGGGATAAATTAAAAAAATTAAAAAAAATAGTACATTAGGTTGTGAATACAGACAATTATTTTGGAACAATAGATAATAAAAATGTGAAAACTTTTTGTAGGAGGGAGAGAGTATGATATAAAGCCAATTTTGTTGACAGAGTGTTCGTGTAGTGTTATAACATGGGTTATGAAGGCATACACGATTATTATTCGTGTTGAGAAACTTATTACATGAATAACGCAACACAATTTACGTAACTGGTTTAATAAATGAGTCAAGACTTGACACAAAACCGTATAACAAGATAATATATGATTAAATCATTTATGAGACAAATATAATATGTTTAATTAAATAAGTCAATTGAATTATAAACGAGTTAACAGATCAAATTTCATTTTTTTACTTTTGAGACTATCAATGGATTTGGAGAGCATCATGACGTCGACGAAAAAATTGCCACCAACGATGAAGTCGTGGACGCCAAAAGGGGTGAGAAAGGGGACGAAGATCATTAGTGTTGTTTATTCTACTTACTTTTTCTTTCTTAATCTATGATACAAGTCACTTTAATATTTGATGTGTCCAACCTATATTCTCATAATTAAAATTAGGAAAATGAATTTTAAATGAATTTTTTAAATTTATGTGAATAGCAAAATGATTTTTACTTTTTTGATATTGTGAATGGAACTCACACTTGAAATAGCTATATATATCAAATTAAAAAGTAGGACTAAATAGTATTACTTTAAAATACGCAAATGAATTTTTTTTTCTTTTATTTATTTAATTTTCTATTTATTGACCTTAAATTAAACACCACCGAAGTCATTGCTTAATGAAGTGCTCGTTTGTTTTGTGGAGAGATGCTTACTGAAGTGCTCGTCTGTTTTGTGGAGAGATGTAGGCATATCTGCTATTTTAAATTGAAAAGTCAACGTTGTGCAGCCATGACAATTCAATTAAAATATATTCAATACATGATAGCAGTGAGAACTAGATGACAATTTCTGCAAACACAAGTTCACATTATTTATTGGTAGTTATTGTATTAATCATAATTATTTATATGATCGTACTTTGGCATGTCCCCATATTTTTTAAAAAAATAATAATAAAGCATCGTCGATAACACGTAGAGATTAATGTTTTGCCTTAAAAAATAAAATTTGAACATTAGACAATATCATATTGAAAAAATGCTATCATGTGTACGCTCATTTGAATTTTATAACACACTTCAATGGCTTTTTATTAATTTGACTAATATCTTACGAGGTCATGTTTGAAAATGCAGTTTAAAATGTGAATGGCCTTATATCCTACTTAAACATAAATAATTGCTATATAATTTAACTTGCGAACACTATATACATATTTTACTCGATGATTACTAGAGATGCAAGAAATATACGTACACTGGTACATATTTAGATGTTTTACAGAACTAATAAAACTATTAAAACCTTCTTCTTTTTCCAGAAAATTCAAGCAATTTGATATAAAAAGAATAATAATTATGTATAATTTATAGCTTTGGGACTGAGAGAGGCCACAGAGTCCCAGGCCACTACGCCCATTGTTGCGAAATCAAACAGAAAATATAAGAAATAGTTCAAACACACACACAACAAGAACATGCAGATTTTAATTGGTTCACCCAAAATCTAGAGGTACGTCCAAGGGTTGCAGGGATTTCACTATAATGATCAAAAAATAACAACGGATACAGAGAGTTCAGAATGAATAAATACCATCGCACTAGGGCAACAGAACAAGTACGGAAATAACCAAAATATCCTCCAAAAAAAAACAAGTTGGATTCGTGGAGTTGGGGCCTGGTGTACAGTATCTA